AAAAAAAAAAAAAAAAAAAGGATTACCGGCTCCAACCGACCAAGGCCAGCCATAGCCAGGGGCGTGGTAGTACCCCTGCTGGACAGCAAGCCATCGAACGCCCACACGCGCGCTTTACCCCCTTGCGTCCGTGCCATTCCGCCGGCCAGTTCTGGCATGCATGCAGTGCCTGCGTTGGATCGCTGGTGCCGGATTGTGATGGAGCTGGAGCTGTTGCTTGTTGGAAGACGCTTACAAGGACTGCTGCAACTCTGGTCTTACCCCCCCCCCCCCTTGTTGCTGTGAAGGCGTGGGCGACTTCGGCAAGATAGGGTCGTGCTCAGTTCATTTTTGGCAACTGCTGGCAAGCTTCTTCCTCGTCGTGATAGAGGAATGTTTTTTTCCCTGGATATGGTTGTTTTCCGTTGCTGTTTTAGGCGTGATTGTTAACCGCTGTTAGATTAGGTTAATAGTCTAATTAACGATTTTGGTTTTTGCCTTTTCGTTTTTTGGTTTTCCCGTTTGCTGTTCTGGTCAATTCCACTGAAATATACCGAACTGCTTGCTGTTCTACTTGATAGGACTGCTGCGACTCTGGTCTTAGTACCCCCCCTTGTTGTTGTGAAGGCATGGACGGCTTCGGCATGATAGGGTTGTGCTCAGTTCATTTTTGGCAACTGCTGGCAAGCTTATTCCTCGTCGTGATAGAGGAATGTTTTTCTTCCCGGATGTGGTCGTTTTCCATTGCCGTTTTAGTCATGATTGTTAACTGCTGGTAGATTACTAGGTTAAGAGTCTAATTAGTGATTTTGGTTTTTGCCTTTTCATTTTTTGGTTTTCCGGTTTGCTGTTCTGGTCAATTCCGTTGAAATATACCGAACTGCTTGCTGTTCTACTTGATAGTCATGGCTGGGGTTTAGTGTGTGTTGTTTGGTCGACTGTGAAGTGGAGAGATGAACATGGGAGTGTCGCTTTGCGAAGACCCTGACAGTGTCATGGTGGGCAGCGGGGCTTTTAGGGAGTTGATGCTGACTGGGGTGCAGTTTGCCCTAAATCGCGAGGAGGAGGGTGGGTTTGCAGGGTCTTTCGACCCTTGCCGCACGGGTGGTAGGGGATCTGTGCAGGTTCGTTGATGTTTCGGAATCGTGTTCGTTTCTTCACAAGTGTTTGGGGTCCTTTCTATCATCCTTTTCTTATGGGACTGGAGAGAGTAGCTCGTAGGATCTTCATCATGGAGGGAGGTGAAAATCCCATTTGGGGAGTGTACGTGGACATGGGTGCGGATTACCCTCAATCGCGAGGAGGTGGGTGGGCTTTGCGGGGCCCTTGGCCCCTGCTGCGCGGGTGGTACGGTATTTCTGAGGGTTTGCTGATGCACCATCATGGAGGGAGTTGGTGTTGTAGGGTAGGCAACGTGGAGGGTGGAGTGATCTGCTTTGAATCGCAAGGAGGTGGGTGGGTTTGCGGGGTCTGTGGTCACAGGCCCCTGCCGCGCAGGTGGCAGGGTGGATCTCAGGGTTGGGTGATATTCAAGGGTGGTAGGCTTTGCCTTTGCAGGGTTTGTTTTTGCTGTTTTTCTGTAGGTTATCCGTATTGTGCGCAATAGAGATTTTGTCATTTCGTTAAATTTGTAGTGCAGTTTTGGAATGCATTGTAACCTTTTCTATGATGTGACGGACGCCGGACCCGTTTTCCGGCTTTTATAATTCAAAAGCGGCTGTCGTATGAACCAGGCCAGAGTCCCTGGATCATCCGACACTCTGGCCGCCTTAAAAAAAATCAAAAACAAAAACAAAAAACAAAACAAAAAAGCATGGCCCCTGCACAAGGATGACACGCATAAATCGAGAAAGAGTGACCATGGAGGAAAACTACAAAGAAGGGTTTGATCGTATGATAGTATCAATCTTGGGATATGGGGCTTTGAAGCACACCTCACCAACTGTGAAAGGGAAAAGAAGGATATGACAGGTGTCCTCTCATTTTTCTCAAAGAAAAAACTCCCTTTTTTCAAAAAAAAGGGCAGCAGCCTTGAGATATCATCATTGAGCTGACAGGCCCCTGGCCATGCGGAATGATTTTAGTGTGGATTCGAGCTTGAGTTTTTCTTTTTTCTTTTTTACTTTTTTCTTTTTTCCAAAATTTCCGGCCCAGTGCCCAAGGCTCATGATTAAAGGATGAGTGTGTATTTCAACAGTTCATGGGTGTACCAACTGAGCTCGGCCCATGTGGCAGGTGTATGTTCACTTGTTCCCTAGGGAAGTCAGGGCGTACTCACACGCGCGCAATCGTAAATGTATCTGACCGCATTTTCGACCGTACCTGTACTCATCTGGCCTCAATTCCATACCTACAAAAGTTCGGGTGAGAGTATGCCTTCAATTCTCCTTTTTTTAGATTTGTTGGCGAGTAGTGCAGCGAGGCCTATGAAAAAAAAAGAAAAAAAAAGGTAATGGGAATATATTCACCTCGGTTGGCAAGGTTCGGACTCAGGTCGCATGGAGTGCGTGTTGGTCTTGGGATGTAGTCAAGCCGCAGGAACTCTCAGGGTCAGTAAAGTAACCCCGAAGGAAATCAAAACAGAGGACCCCCCCGCAAAGAAAAAACAAAAAAAAAAACGAAAGAAAGAAGAAGACCCAAGAGCCGCCATGAACTGTTGAAATACAGAGCGGAGTTCAAATCCAGACGACCGTACATGATGAGTAAAACCAAATATTTCTGAATTGCCTGGGGCCAGTCAGCTCAATGATGATCCCGTAACCCCGAAGGAAATCAAAACAGAGGAAACCCCCGCAAAAAAAAAAAAAAGAAAGAAAAGAAAAAAAAAAAAAAAAAAAAAAAAAGAAAAGAGAAAAGAAGACCCAAGAGCCGCCATGAACTGTTGAAATACAGGGTCTCGCTCCACTACTGTCCACTGTACAAAAACGGACAGTGGTACTTGGCTCCACTTACTGTCCACTGTACATGTGCAAAATGGCTTGGACAGTTTTGAGAAACCCCGTCGGAAATCTACTGTCCGTGAATGTACAGCTCCCAGCCTGCAAAATTCGTTAGTACGCGGAAAGTCCTTCAAGGGACTCACCATGAGGACCCGAATTTGGACGGTGCACCTGGAGTTTGGGCGGACAAAACCGTATGGACGTCCTGTCTTGTAGTGCTATCACTGTGTCTGGTAGTGAAGCCACGGTTTTCAGAGGTGGACAGCGGACAGTAAGTGGAGCGATGTCGCATTTTCCACTGTCCGCTGCACAATTTTTCGCTCTGACAACTGTCCAAGAAATGTCCGAAAAATTGTACAGTGGACAGTAGTGGAGCGAGACCCACAGAGCGGAGTTCGAATCCAGACGACGGTACATGATGAGTAAAACCAAATATTTCTGAATTGCCTGGGGCCAGTCAGCTCAATGATGATCGTGTCAATCTTGGTGGGATTTCGCTACCCCCTCGGGCCATTGGTCCTTCAGATCTAAGGGCAATATCTCTTGATAATCTATGCAAGTGCCGGTTCGAGGGCCCTGGCCTTCTGCTTCACCACTTGCAATCCATCAATATGGCTCCAAAAGAAAGAAAAACGTCTGATCCGGTCAATCTTGAGAATTGGACCATTCTCCACTTATGCGTGTCATCCTAAAATGCGCAGGGGACATGCTTTTTTTTTTTCTTCGGAAGGTTGAACGTTATATTAATATCCAAAGGGAATAGTGGCCGGGGACCTCACAATGCAACCCAAAGTTATCCTGGGGCCATTACCCAGTTTAGGCTCGGCTGAAAAACGGGTTCAGCATCCCATCTGTTCCCAAAATAGTAACATACACCTTTCCAAAAAAAAAAGGATCCAACTTGAAACTCAGAAAAAAAGGCTGATGACTACCTCTAGTTTACTGCTTAAACCACCAGTACTTGGCCCAGCTATCGAGTCCGAGCCTCGGCCGACCGGTACGCCGATCCGTGCCGAGGCTCGGACTACCGGGCGCAGGCATCCCGAAGGTCGGCCTGAAAGGTACGAAAAAAACGGGAAAAAAAAAAACGAAACGGGAAA